GGGGGAAGGAACACAGAAGAAGGAAGCAGGAATTCCGGAACGCACGAAACAGGGAAGGCTTGATGAGCGAGGAGGTAAGGATTTTTCGTTCGAAAGATCAAAAGGGGGTAATAACGTTATGGAGCCAGTTCCTTACTTTAATGCGGTATGCTGGCAATTCTATTTAATCTGATTTCTGGTTGCGAACGAGACTCGTTAAGACCACTACTGTCGAATAGTTCGCGTGGCTGCTCGATGCCTCGAGCTACACAACTCGCCAAGTTTCCCCAGTGACATAATGAAATTTAAATGGATATTCATTTACCAAAGTAACGTGGACATCGTTCCACTCTTTTCTCTATTAAATATGTTGGTTATCAAAAATAGGAAAATAGAAGCTATAGGACAGTTCTTACATTCGATTACGAGTCGCTCGAAATATGATGGCGATCTTTGAAATTCCAAAAATTAATTTTTACACGCTTTTCTTGTGAACCAAATCTACGAAGGCGTAAAAAAAAGACTTAACGAATAGCGTGGCAGGGATATTCTCTAAAAGTTTCAAACAGACGAGTCAAGTATTTCTCGAAAAACCGTGTCGATTTCAAAGAACGAGTTAACAATCGTCCGACAATTTGAGTAAAGCTGCACGAGACTGGCGAATGGCGCAATTAGTGCGTCAACTACGGGGAATCGAACGTAATAATTGCTTAAAGCAGTTCACGAGCTTTGTTCTTGTGAAAAAAAATACCAAAATAGATGGTACCCAAGTGTTCAGGCGTACGTAATCGGTGACGGGATAGCAACTCCGACGGACACGGTTTTGTTGACCAAACCTGAACGCGACACGTTACGTGTAATGTTTTCACCCCACTTGCGACACCTTATAATTCATCTTTCACGGCTGACGGCTGCGTCCAGGTGGGGACATTGTTTCTATGAGCACAATAAGGCGGCTTCCTCGCTAATAGTCGCGTCCATGATAGTTTTCGGTGTGCTGCAAACGATCTGATGAACATTATCCAGTGAAAATTACTTACTATCCGCAGAGATGCTGTCCTGGATAGGCTTCAAACGAAAGCATGCGTATCAACCGAAGGTTGCTTACGATGCCTACGAGGACAAATGGATTAAGACCATGCCAAAGGTGCTTTGCGTGGGAGTCAGACCCATGTAAGTACAAACTACAACGTCATTGCAATAAACAGATTGCATTTTTGCCACTGTTGATGATGGTACAAATAGATCTTGTTTTAAATATACGGCATAGTAATATATGACCAAAATTACTTATTAAATTTCAATGTATTGCAATCTTCTATTGTGATTAATTGTTTTAACTGTAAAAATATGTTCAGATTTGGGACGAATGTTTTCGATCTAATGGTCATTATAAGGTCAATATATTATAGACAGTTCAATTTATTTGTTCTAAATATCGTTTCGGATGCAAACAAAACATTTATGACCTTGAAATCTCAGAAAACGACCTTGACTAGAGAACGTTGCATAATATTTACCTGTACCAAGCAAGCAATGTTTTCCTTAGGAAATACTTGGGTACATCACCATGAATGGACACCCTGTATATTGCACCAAGAAAATAGTGTTGAATATTTACCATTAAAATAAATGAAAAAGTTTAAATAATCATTTTAAGCACGAGCCTACATCGAACATTTATAAAAGACATTGGAATGATTATCAAAACTCGTCTGAGCAAACAGCTTTTACGAATTCCAAAACAATGTGCTCTTCGTATTATAATTATCGTTAAAAGATTGTCGCTGATAAGAACAATTTATCACAGTCAGTGTTCCACAGAGTTTATTTAAGTGCTATAACGATTCAAAGAGGCAAACCATTATTGTCAACAGGCTGTCTATTTTCAGAATAATTCTTTTTTAATAATGCGAGACCTTGTGTTCCATTTAAACTAAATTCATTTGTTTTTTTTAAAAGATTACGTAATATTTAATGACACCTTCGAAATCTATGACATCGCAGAAAACCTCTTTAATCCGTGTAATCGCCGCGGAAAAATACTCAAACAAGTAGCGTACTCGAACCTCCTACCATGGATTTTCTTTCGTGCCTCTGTGTAAAAGGTGACAATTGAAAGGATAATGGCTGCAATTGTTTCCTCGAAGGTCCTAGTTCGATAATAGTCGATAATCGTCGTCGATAACAATCGTTCTCGCGCCGATTGTCTGCTCGGGGTGTTCTCTGGTGACGTCATTGCAATTTTTACTATCGACGTTACGCATTATTGGTCAATTCGCGATGTTGTCTTGGTTTTTTCCTAATTAATGCACGATGATGGAAGTTTTGATACCTGGAAAGTGCAGTATCACTCTCTGGGAAATCACGATAAGTTGCTGTTTATAAAGGCTGATCCAAAAGTGGTCTTACATCTTGAAATATAATTTTCACTCGCCGTAACATTTGCACCGTCCAAACGAATAGACCAGTCGTTTTCTGGAGTTCTTTTTCCAATCATGATGAAGCATTCAAAGTATTTAGGGTGGCCTGGTTGGGTGGGACACCCTGTACAGGGGCAGACCGGGGATTTCTGATCAGGAACAATCTCGGGTGCCCCTACTCCGTGCACTCGGGCTTATGGTCGCTTAGACAACGTGCATACTCGGTGAATATTTACCGACGACTGCTCAGTTCTACTCTCACGTGCGGGAGGCTCACACGGGGCGCACTATGCCACGAAATTAATCGGAATTATAAACAATCGAAACGGAACTCTTGCGAATACAACGCTCTGGTGGAGGTACGGAACTTCTACATGGCGCAATTTGAAATAAACAACGAAAATAATATAATACACGTTGCAATTAAGTAATCCGTTCGAACGATGTTGACCGATTTAGTGAAACTGAGGCGAAGACGCAGGAGATGTTCCAGTGTACCGAATATTGAAAATCAAGACGTCGCAGAGACTGAAAAGTCGTGTGATTCGATCGAGTACAGAGAGAAATACTTGGGGAATAGAAATCTTTCGATAATGACCGACGACGTGCCCGATTTGTGCCCGAAAAACAACACGAAGTCGACCAGGATGCAACCAAGAACCAACCCTTTGACGAAATTGACGATTAAAAAGTCCACCGATCGTGATGTTACCGTTCGCGTCGGGGAACTGTCTGTGATCCCAAATTTGGATTGGCAACCAGTGGACCGTAACAACGTCACTGACAGCGCGAAGATCAACAGCGTGTCGCAGAAGTATGGCAGCCCTAAATGCAGCAGCACGTGGTTCTTGAAGTTCAGGCGTCAGGTGCTGAGGAGCTTGCAGAACAAAGTTTATCCCGCTGTGGCTGCAGGGTGAGTTCCTGGAAACGTTCGCCATTTATGGTTTTATTGGTCAAATACCTTCGTTGTACTTTTTAAATTGGACGAGATCAAAAATGGGGCTTGAAATCACGTTTGAATATTTTTTATATCCCCCCCTCTGCGTCGAAAAAGGGCCTTTTCTCGTTAAAATTGGTAGTTTCTTTTATTAATTGTTAATAGGATTTAAGTCTAGTGATTCTAGTGATTTATCTAGGCGATAAACCCTTCATTTTGGTATCACATATTATGTGTTTAGAGCGATACTTGAGACGTGATTTCTTTGCGTAGGTTGTATTGGCCGACAGATTTTTAAATTTGTATTATTCGGCCCTTTTCAAAGACAGTTTGTCGACCCCTGGTTTAGACGAGTCTTTTATCTAACCTAGCGATAAATAGACGGATGTGATAGTGGGCTTCTCACGGTCTGGTACGAAGACACCTTGCACGTGGCCGGGGAGTTTAAAGACCTTCGATCCACCGGTGGAAAAGCAGTCGCGGTGACTAGGTAGGGTAACCTGCGTGGGTGAGTCATTCGAGTAAATGACAGCGAGCTGGTAACGCTCGCGTGCCCACCGTCGAACAATAACAGTCGAAACACCGGACACGTTCCGTTCACGGAATATTTAAGCGATTCATCGAGTTTTAAAATCGAGGTGACGGGGATCTTCAACACCGGTCGCCATCTTGACACGTCGACGATCTCGTGGCGCCAATTTGTACCATCTGGACCAACGTTACAATTAGAGATCAAATCTCATGTCGAATGTTACTTATAATTATATTCTGCAAACGTTAATTGGTTCAGAAAGCTGTCCCAAGCTGTTCCTTTCCAAAAACAATTGTCAGTTCATCGATTTAAATTAGCAGAAGTTGACGCATAAATTCAATTATCGTTTTAGAAAGTAAATAAATCGCTGTTGATTGGCGCCCTTCGTATAAAATTGTTCCCTTCTGTGTGGTTTTACGATCGAAAATGGTGATTCTCGCGTCGGCGTTTATGCGTGCCGATAATACGAAGCGGCGCGTGCACAATAGATTCTAATTACATATTACTCGAGGGATTCGAACTTCATTCAGCCCTAAGTACACGGTACGTGCGTCGTGTGGCTGTGTTCGCGGCAGGATCTTGCGCAGAACGTGCGTAATGGACTTCCGGTGAGCATCGAACCTGAACACGCCGGGGTCCACGCTTTCTGTCCTTCTTGGAAACCATTGTTTTCAAGCTATACCTTGACACATGATTGTCTAATCGTTTAACAGACTGTAGATTCATAATACTTAACACGTTAGCAACCACACATTCTGAACAGACTACTATCTGCCTGCTGAGAATTTATAAAAATTCTCAAATTATCTCACGAAAATAAATCCAGATGTCCTTTACCAATTTACGATCGGTGGCTTCGTTTTCGAGATACAGGCAAACAAAGTTTAGTGGCGTGATTCTCGACGGACGCCATCTTTGTCTCAATCAGCTGATCGCGTGGCGCCACTTGTACTTCGCGCGTAAAAACTTTGAATGCTTATATCTCGAAAACGAAGCATCAGATTGCAAAACGGTAAAGGACTTTTCGATTTCCCATCCCACGAGAAATTTGTTTTTAAATCAATTAAATGATTTAAGGAGGTGAAACATCATAAGTCTTGCAATTTATTTATTTCAAATACGTCTTCGATTCATTTTTGCTGCTTTCGATTATAGATTTGTGACTTTCCTGATCCAGCCACGATAGTACGAGACTTTCGTGTAAACCCCTGACACCACGCCACACTTTTGGCCAAAGGATACGATTCCATAAATAGTGTTTTTACTTGCCAACGGGCCTCCCGAGTCCCCGTAACACGAGTCCTTTCCGTAACTTCCGTAACAGAGATGCTGTTCTTCTTTCACGAGAGTATTGTACTCCGGAGATTCGTCGACGCAAATTTCGTACGGCGTTCGACGAACGTAGACACCCATCAGGGCATTGCTTATGCTTGTCTAGAAGAAAATCGTGGATCTATTAAAAAATTTGGACGTTATTTTATCGAAAATACAATTAAATTTTTGTATAAATCCGAACTCTGACCCTTAAAACGGAGTAACCAAGGAGAAAGGAACTCACGTCGCTTCGAAAATCAATGTAACCCCAGCCACAGACGTACAGTTTACGAGGCGGCTGGCTGAACTCGTCGGGCAGCCGAACAACCCTAACTGAATTCGAAAATCGAAAAGGTGGCCATACTTGGAATAACGCGATGTCGTGATAGAACATGCTGGAAAACCAATACAGAAACGTCGTGTCGTTGTACGCGTACAAGTTAGTAATTCTGTGCAACGATCCTCCATAAGGCGTATTTGACCCGGCGCGTACGTAATAATCTGCTATGTCATCTGAAACCCTGGACATTATAATATGAAACATTAAATGTAACTATTTTATTATATCGAACACAAAGTAAATTAAAAATTGCATAATATTAACAACTATAAAATTAGAATTAACACCACTGAAATTGCAACATTTTCTTGGTACTATGGAACTCACAGACAGTGAAGAGCAGTGATGGCCCATTTTCGAGACAGTATACTGGCACCGCACACGAATCCTTGAGAATTATGCAAAGACAGCTGAAATCATTATCGTTATTCTCGACGTATTACAAATTTGCATGAAAAACAAAATTAATTGTACCATGAATGGACGCTGGCTTATGTGAACGGGTCGTCCTCCGATAATTTTTGTCTTTGCAACGCAATTGACATTTTTTATTCTCGTTGTGATCGCGAACCCTGTACATACACAAGGTGACCTTTGATATAATTAAAAGAGAATCTGTAGGAAATAAACAATACTTACACATTAAGTAGAGAATCGTTGTTCCAGCGCGCATTCTATTATACTTACCACTCGCGCGAATATGTTAAATAAATCTGTGTGACAAACAGAACGCTCTGCATCTTCTGAAACAATAAAAGTTACGTTGCAATACGTTCGGAGAATTTATTGCTATTATTATCTGCAAGAACTGAGCCCGAACGCGTTAAAAGCATAATGTATAAATTATGCAGTATCTGTGATTTATGACAGAATTTTATGGCTCCATTAAAATGACTCTTTTTTCAAAGTTTATTTATTATTGTTCTACCTCTTTAAATTAACAAATATGGAGTGGACAATTCCTTATGGCATTATTGTTTCAAAGATTTCGAGCAAAAAATAAATCATATTTTAGTATTTTATTTTCTCTATTTTGTTCACTTTTATTCAAATTAATTTAAAATTTATAAATATGAGTGATTTGCCAAATCTCATGATTATTTTTACGTAACTATTAAAAGACATATGATGAATTGAAAGTAAAAGATTGTTAAAGGGGAAACAATTTTTATTTTGCAATAAATCAATGCTTTCCAATTAAATAAATATTTCTTCTTAGTATCTATGTACAAAGTTGGGTTAAAATAATTTATTCGTTTTTTATTTAAATTTCTAATTTTATTATTTGCGCTCGTTAACGTCGATACAGCTATTTTATTTACTACATTATTTCTTCATCCACCTGGAAAAATAATTCTCGATCCTTTTAAAAGGATCGGATCAATTTTTGCGAATATTTGACGTGATGTTTTCATAAAATTGGAGGACTAAAAAATCCTCTACAATCGGATCAAAATCTTGATTCTCCACAAAGGGCAGCGATCTGCGCGTGCGTCTCAATTCGTCGTCAAACTCCATGGAACTCTGTCCGCCATTGGTGGGCTGTCCAAAGCAGAACAAAGTGGAAACAAAGCCCATAGTTTCCATGAACATTGTAACCAACAGAAGATTATTCGCCAGACAAGCCAACATGCTTTTGTCGTTCGTGCTCCTAAGTCTGCTAACGCGATTCATGGACGCCATTAAATCGTTCATGGAGGCGTCCACCTCTTTCATAACCTCTGGAATAAAAATTTTAATTCGAATTTTACGTTAAATTAACTTTCATTTTTTAATATCGTGAAACATATTGTAATTGTTTCCTCATTTTCGTTATATTAACCAGCTTTAGAACGAGTTACAGCAACATGACGCCAGCCACTTTCAGAACTGTCCTCCATATTGGAGTCTTCGTTTTCGTTCGACGCTTCGACCGCCGTGCTTGCGTCTGGCGACGATTGTATATTTTCACTGTTCGCGCCGCCATGGAGCTCCAGCAGGTTATTCATCCACTCCATCATGCTGGAAAAAATCCTCACGTGGCTCTGCCAAGTCTCGTTAAAAGTGACTTTGATCCCGTTTATGAGTACTTTCTCAAACTCTGTTGCAGAACGATGCATCTTCCCTATTGCACCGAACGTTCTCGCGAATACGCCATTTTTGTACATTCGTAGTGCCTTGGAGACTTCTTTGTACCTAAATAAACGTCAATTCTTAAGTGTAAGAGGTTAATTTTTAATCGAGGTCCATTTCTTTCCAAACTAAAGTCAGAAGAAGAGTCTGTGACAATTCCTCAGGCAATACTGTACCTCTTCCATTCTTACCGTACAAAGGATATTAAAAAATCTCTAATTGCGCTAACCTTGCTGCGGCTGTCTTGTCTTTCCCGCCGGGAGTTGACAGTCTCTTCAATTTCTTTAGTCCCTCGTCGTAAATTCCGAAACACTGATACAACTCATCAACGAACTTAAGCCCCAATTGGCTGCCGGACAAAGTGTCGCCCAAATCATCAGCAGCTCTGTGCAGAGGCGATCGTTTCGGTATCTTCTTATCCAGGATCCTCTCGAACACATATTTCAACTTCTGTTTGGCCGTCCTCGGCGTTCCGCGGTTGGTTTTGCAAGACACCATCACCTTTCCCTGCTCGTCCGAGTGAATCTTGCAGTCGCTCAACCGTTGGATCGCCTTCATCCACGATTTCTCCTCGACGTCCTCTTTGCTCTGTTGCCTCATGCTGTACAAACACCTTTCTAGGTCCTGCACGTCGCGCATGCAATCTTCGAAATTAATTCCCTCGGCCTTCATGATGGAAAAACAAAGGGCAACGCGCCAGGACCCGCGTCTCCTTCGACTTTTGTTGTCTAACAATGCCCCACCCGCGCTGGACCTCAGAGTCCTCACTACAACGTCTGGTGGATGCCTAGTCAGATTGAGGAAGGCTCGATTGAGGACGAAGGACCTTCTGAACCCTCCTTTTGACAGCTGCAGGAGACACTGGGACAGCCTGTCGCCAAAGTCTGCTGCGTCATACACGACGCCTAGGAACTGGAAGCTGCCATCTTGTTGAGTCAATTCCTAAAATGGTTCTTCGTTATGAAGCAAACAATTGGGGAGGTTTTTTGATGAGGATGCTTGCAAAAATGTTGGTCTTGGTGTCCGTACTGAGTTAGATACTTAAGTACTTAAATGTTCTAGGTGTTATAGGTCCCTTATGAACCCCCCAAAATTAAGGATATTACTTGAAAAAACTATGCAATTTAACCTCTTGACTGCAGAAGACTATGATGCAAGCACAAAATAGTGCAAAACAAGCTTGAAAAACGTTATATTCGAGTTTGACACTACCCAGAACGATAAACGTCTTAAACTTTGGACAGACCTTGCTTCCCTGTGTCGTGGCATTGGGTCCACCGGCAAGCAGATCAATTTCACCCTCGATCTCGTTGATCATGTTCCCCAGATCGCGCAACAGATATGCTCCCTGCAGCAACGTTTCAGAAAACCAATCCTCGGACAGCGAAACATTGTTCGAGGCTTGTTCGTAGCGACGAACAGTGGTCCTCAGTCCGCAATCTTTAGCAAATTGCATTAGCCTTTTGCGCACCGAGTCGCACATTTCTCGAATCGTTGATTGCACATCGTCCTCCTTGAATCTTCTTGTTAGTATAATCGGCCTCTTCACAGGCTCCGCTATTTTGGTTAGAAAGCGTCGAATCGTCTTCTCCAAGGGTTGCACTTGCTTTGGATTCACCAAAACTAACCCTCGATTCGACCCTTTTTGGACATCTGCGAGGGAAGGGGCGGAATCTTTTCGATCGAAGCGTTCTGAGATCGATGATCGTACAAGAGCTGCATACAGTTAGAAAATTATCTTATTTGAGCTATTGTTTTTTTAAATTTTAGAAGAATCCTGACTGGATTTATTAAATATCTAAAGAAAATTGGATCCTTTGTTTTTCTATACTTACCTAGAAACAGCAGAAGGAGAATGGTTTTAAGGAACATGGTGAACACAGCTCAAAGCTCTATGCCTTTGTGTCATTGTTTTTCTCTAAATTGTCTCTGCTATATATAATTTTATTTGACTTTTGGAGCAGTCGTTTGCGATATGTTTGAAATATTGCAGCATTTTGTCGCTTGAGACGATTTTTAGAACCGAGTCGGTATCGTAACACGTCCGGGAAAAAATATTGGTTGGAGATAAAGGAGTAACAATAGATAGCATTCGTGAATTATAATACGAAGCGGTAATAGTTGAATGACGCAATTCTTTTATTTCTCTGAAACTTCGTTTATTGAGCCGCTAAATTTATTTAAGTATCGCTACAATGTAGTACGAAATAAAGATGGCGGTGTGCGTAGGTAAATCCGCGTCCCTAATGAAGAAAATGGCGACTCCACGCCTGCGCTTGGGACATCGAACAATTCCCATTATACCCGATTAAATATTACATAATCGTTATTATATTATTCCAAAGAATCCATGGAACTAAGAAACAGTATAAAAATAACAGAGATTCAAATTAAAACAGAGAAGATTGGGGGATCGTCGACATTCTACCAACGATGCTCGCCAAATTCGCTGAAATCATCTGAATTACAGTCGTTTCGACTGTACATTGTCACCGAAATAGAATGATATCATCGCGATGACTCACTGATACCGTCGATGACTCGTATCGTCATTACAACTACGGAGATAAGCATCTCCTTGGTTATCGTCAAGGAGAATCCGATTATTCTTGCAAGTTCATCGGATTTTACATAATTGGACAGATAAGAAGTTTCGACAAAAATGCCCGGGGGGGCTAAAGTTTAGGTTAGAAAACGCAGCATCCGTGAAGGTCCGCCATCTGGCGGTTGGAGTGGCAATCGCGCGTGAATGGAGCACGTTTCGGCGCCTTGCTATTGACTGCAGTGCCTGGCCGTCTCCAGCTAACCTACCGGCGTTAACGTCGATCGTGTTTACTAGAATTTCTTACGATATATGACGCGACAACTCGTTCGTAGCCGGCTACTAGCCGTGCAGTGACGTTTCGACGGTAGAAAGTGTTGTTGGCTGGGCGGAGGATGTTGTAACTCTACCTGGGCGTGAAGACTACCTGCCAGGATGGACGAGGAGGCTATGTGGAAAGATTTCTATCACAAGATCGTGGACGAGAAGGAAGCCAAGGAGAAGGAAGAGCAGGAAAAAACGGAGCACGAGATAAGGTAGAAAGTGCTCGGGGGTGAACGCTTCACGGGCACGAGGAATCGTGGCCTAACGTTTCTACTAACCGTTCTGTGTCTAATTCGGTGACCATCGTGTAAGTTTTTTTCGCTAATTTAACGCTAACAGGATTGTATGTCACGTGTCATGGACGAGAACGTGTCCTCCTTACAATCGTGAGAGCCTCGCAAGGAGCTTCCATCTTAGCCGCTTGAGGCATGGCAAATTTTGGGCGAGTACGAATTGGTAGACGCGACCAATGACGTCACTGGAACACCGGGTGACTCCAAAATCTTTCTAGTAAATAGTTTTTATTCTTCGGGGATATTCTATCACCTAATTGTTGTATTATAATCTTAGAGAATGGGGGATCGTTGATAAAATATCGCTGAAATATTCGTAGTTGAGCCCTTCTGGCATCCTGGTATCAGCCAAATTCTGATTCTAATTTTGTATGACACAAACAGCGTGGGTTTGAAACGTGCTTGGAGAAGTTTAATAAGGTGATACGTCGTCTCGATGCTTCAAGAGGTTAATATGCAAATATATGTATACCTGTGATCGATATGACGCATTGCAATTATCTGCAGAGGAGTGTCAGAGATGAAAATGAATCAGGTGACTTCACAGTTTGTCTGTGAAGCTTATCTTGTTCGCGGGGAACTGTGGTCTAATCTTTTCTAAGGAAATTCGTATTCTACCGCGTACCGTTACGGTGCAATCACGAGTTCCCGATTAGAAAATCACGTGCTCGTCCGTGACATTTCAGCGTGGAGCTATTCGCGTTCGAATTACCGCCAAACAGAGACGAGCAAACCGACTGTGTCTGTCGTTGTCCGCGGATAATGACAGTTATCTCTCGTATTTAAATAATTTTGTATCTGGATGATAGTTTTGCTCGCCTCTGTCGTAAAACAAATGCTCCCTGTACTCTGGCGGTTGCCAGGCTAACCAACGCTCTCGAATGCACTGCATGCACGGGCAATTAATAAAGACTCACGCTTGTTCCGGAACATCTGCAAGAAATTGCCACTCCAAGTCGCTGGGAATACGTAACGCGTGCGCGCATGCATGTTACAATTCCTCCAGATCCACGGCTCAAGGTCGACGGTTCATGATTCAGTGGATTGGGCGCTGTTTGATCAGACGATCTCGTGTTTAACGTCTAAGGCACCTGACAATTCCGGTGTTTGTAAAACACGACGACTCGAGCGCCGTCAAAATGATTAGTTATGTTCTGGAAGGTGTGATTACACCGGAGTTGAGCAAACTTAATTAACGGAACCAACTATTACTAGCTAGTTCATCCACGTTTAAATTTTTAGTCTATTTCTTTGATCGCATTAGATAAATCATTATTTTTGTAATTCTGAGTCACGTGACCCACACTTCTGTCAAGATTAAGTCCAACTCTGCCCCAATTTGTATAAGATTGAATTCAATGGGCAGATACACAAATTGTAGCTAATTTATTTAAAGAAAGATCTGCCTTTCTTACACTAGTACTTTAAAATTTGAGGCAGAGGTTATTAATCAGTGCAAGTAAACAACTATAATGTAAATAAAAGAAAATGTTACACATGATACATTGGTACATCTCTACGTTCAAGATTTGTGTAAATTAATGTACGATGGAAGCTTCAGTTGGGCGTAGACGATTTCGTTGTTATTAATCAGTGTTTATAAATACGTTCGAGTTGCTAATCAGCTGATGTCACGCAAAGCGGAACAGACTTCGGGGAAAACAGAATGCGAAGATTTCGTCGCACGCGCGCGACTTCCGAAGAGGCACACGGTATACTAACAAGACTGTTACATTCCAAACGACCTCCATAAGCGAAGATAAAGCGGAGGGGACGTGCACACGCTGCTAATTAATTCTTTTATGATGTCTCAGCTGTTGCGTTGATGTCAATGGGACGACCGTCGAAACGAATAAAAAATAGTTGCTTTCGATTGTCATAAGATTGGCAAAAATAGAGGAGAAAGTAACAACTATGAAATTTACAACATAGTTTAATAAATGACTTCTCGTGTCGTTTGGACTGGCTCCTAACGATTGTTCGATGATATATTCAGTCTTAAAATTGAATGAAAAATTTAGACCGGGCCACCAACTCGATAAATAACTCGATAAATAAACATTGCACGACGTATTCTGAACAGAATCTTAAATAGTTCCGCAGTGGCAACGCAATCCTGCATTATTCACGCCGTCTATAAATACAAGATTCTCACCACTATTTTTAGAAAAATCATTTACCCAGCATTTTGTAAATGACCGTTGTAGATTCTGGTAGACACAAGTTAGATCTGTTACCCTAATTTCCGGGGATTAAACGTAATTACGAGTACAAGTGAACGATGATCGAGCGGCTCTTGTTCCGCGCGATGATACTTTTCCCATGGGTCAGCAATAATAAGCGATAGTCATTGTGACGCCATCGCGATCTCGATGGGAATCCCCCGTTTCCCTGACCATCGAGACGTCAATAAGGAAACAGAGAGGCTTAAACTACTCGCGCGTAGGTGAATGTCCCACGAGAACGAGAATTAGCATTTGAGAGCACCACGAATATATAGGGTGTTCGCCTACAAACAAAGCAATATTTCCGTTACGATTTCGCAGGCTCAAATAAAATGACAGACAAGAAGTACGAAATTATATTCGTGACATTTCTAATTTCTTTCCTCTAGGAAGGTAAACACGTAGGAAATTCTTTTTCAAAAATAAATACTACAATCTATTATTCATAGATTGTTCTTAACAGCAACTATACAATTAAATCTAATTATCTCCTCGAGCATCTAAGTTTCCATGGCAGAGAAAGGGAATTTTGAAAGTAAACAAATACATTCACTATCACGTATAGATAAGTAACGTGTATGCCTATTCCGATATCATGGTCATGTTCTTATTAATCCTTCGCTAGAGATTCTTTCTTTATCTTATTCATAAGAATTATTACAACGAGGCGGATTGAGTCGGTTCTTGTTCGTTTTGAAACGGTGGAGACCATTGAAGGCCGTTTCTGCCTTACATCACTGAAGACCTTGTGCCTCTTGCTCGCGAGACACTCCAGTTACAGATAGCGTGAAATTTAAATGTTCAGATATGTTGTCTAGACTTTCTTGCTTCTCCTCGAACGATAGTGGCGCCACCCCCAAGAATTCGCCAAGAGTCAATTAAAAATTATCGTTCCGACGCATCGCTTTTAAGTGATTATTCTCGTCTAGACCGCAATTTGTGTCCCTTTTAATTTGTTTCATTCAATTTGAAATGTTCCCTTAACGCTGTTTCGATCGAAGAGAACAATTATTCAAACAAAGCATTAATCTGAGGCTACATCGACGATTAATCATTACAGAAATCGCAGCCATAACTTCCTGCAATAATCGAGATGCTACTGTATTGCGCAAACGCGTTACTTTAGAGTTCTTCTTCCTCGAGTGATCGAAGCTACTCAAAAATTCAATTTATCGCATCAAAGAAACCGAGAACCATCAATCATTTTAATCGTCAATCGTTGTCAATAATCATCTTCGTGAAGTTAAAGTGACATTAGGTTACGTTGTAAACAAAAAATTATGAATTATTAATACTAATGGACTTGTATCTACATTTGTCTTTCCTCTGTAAGTCAAAATTATTTTAACCTGGCATACACACAAGCGCCATTGTGGGTCCACCTTGCATTGTACTTCAGTATAGTTGCTTACTTTCATAGTAGGCTAATGATGTTATTGAAAAATATTTTATCCTAACGTCCTATGTATTACTGATGACCATTGTAAAATAACTGTCAATCTCAAAGAAGCTATTTCGATTCGTACATAACCTATAAATACACGTTGCATT